GCCTTACTAGTAGTAACAAGTGCCTTACTAGTAGTAACAAGAAGCTATTAGTTGCAGAAGCCTCGAGGATCGGAAAGAGGTTTGTAGAGGCGAATGAAATTGAAGGCTGACATTTCCACCTCCCCCCATCACCTGACCAGCTCGATTGACCCGAAGGGTCGAGGATGGGCACGGTATGGCACGGTGGACGTAGACAGATGAGGGCGAGCCCTGTTGACCATGGCATCGCAGTACGAGACATGGGCGACTGAGTCAGTTTGCTGATGGACAGAGTTGTGCTCTCACTTGAGGCCTTATGAATGTTCTTTGTGGCAAGGCCGGCATGCAGGAGTTTCTCGCAGCTAAAGTACAAAGAAGTCGTTCACAGGAGAAATTGGAACCAAGCCCCTGTGTTTGGTAATTTTAAAGACCTTCCATTGGGACTGGCTGTGACTTTGACTTCAATGAGTCAGTAGAGACCCCAAAAACCAGGTCTGGAATCACAAGCATCTTCGCTGGCAGCATGCCCATCAGTCCATCATCCGACCATCACCAAGGAAAGAAAGGAAGGAAAAGGTCATTCAAGGTATGAAAGTGATGTCGAAGTCCATCCAAGTCCTAAGACCATGAGAAAGCATTCAAACATCAAGAAGGCAGGCATCGGGTTTCGGTCCTTTCTCGGAGGCCTCCTACGCCACCGCTTCAGGGCCTCCACCTTGGAGCTTCCGTTTCGACTGGGTGGTGAAAGCTCTCGCGTGGCGGCTCTCAGGGTGGTACGCTTTAATGGACAAGAGGGCGATTTCAATGACTACAAGACGGTCATGGGCTTCGTTCCCCAGGAGATCGGCTGTATGGATCAGTTTGGATGCTGGGCAGTGTGGGGGAGTCAAGCTTTCATTCCTTTTTCCTTTCAAGATATCTCAACTCATTCTCAACTGCATCGTCGATGTCAATGGATCGCCTTGGGTCAAACAGTAGACCGAAGGCTTTCACCCTGGGGCCACCAGATCCGTCCTCAATTCGGCGCAATCTATCCAAAAACAATCGGGATCCAATAAAAAATTGCAAGTGATGCAAAGGGGTCCTTTTGGCATCACCAGCATTCTGTATGAACTGGTTTTCACGGCCCTTCAGCAAAATACCAAGACCAATAAGCACTCTTAAAAAAGGATTCTAGGCCCAGCAGTGCCACCCCCCTTGCCACCAAGTGCCGCGTCTGTCTGCTGGGTGCCATGCGCCCGTGTTGCAGGAAGATGTGGTGCATGAAGGACTTACAGCAGGGCTCTGAGTCTGAAGTCGTAGCTTTCGAGTCGTTCGTCCGTTGCTTGATCTTAAGATGATCCCCCAATGAAGATTGTCCGATCTTTGTACTGGACGTAGTCTAGGAGTTGTTGCTAAGAGTTCTGGCCCACCCAGGTGGGAGAGCAGATTCGCTTTTCAGCGGATTTGAGGAACGCCTACGACACCGATGCCCCTCGTTTGGTCCGCTTCGGGGTGTTTTTTTCCGTTCGGACGGAGGGTGATTGGACGAACAAGAACTCGTACCGTGAGAGTTTTGCTTTGACAAATACTTAAGTGCCAAGAATTGAGAACTAGACAAGTTCAGAAAAGCAAAGCCTGTTGTCACGACACGTACTGGTGTGAAGTTGCACGCTTCGATTGTTAGTGGAGTGCGGTCAAGTGGCCACGGCGCGTCCATTGGGGCTTCCAGAACATCCCCCCCCAAGGGTTTGATTCTCACCAACGCTTCCAAGGCCAACACACGAAAGCCTTGACCTTAGTCTTCCTCACTCTTTTGCAAGGCACTTAGATCAGATTTTGTCCCTTTTGTCATCGTTTCCTTCCAGAATATGTCATTCAAGCATCTTCAGCTTCGAGTCTGAATTCTTGCTGAGTTTTCTTTCTTTGAGCGCGTCACCAGCAACGTTGACCCACATTGGCACCCCCCTTCCTACACCCCAACGTTGACAGGATCCGTTTTCGGCCCGCGCCGGGCGTTTCGAGCTGGGTCTCGGGTCCTCCAAGGCTCATCGCTGAAGATGTACTCAAAGTCATGCAGCTCGATGGACTGCAGAACAGGACACTCCGACGAGCTGAGTCGTTTCTTCGGGAGACGCGAGGTGTGAGGATGGAGAGTTGTGAGGATTGAGAGGACCCAAAGCAAACGACCGGCTTGTTGATTGCCAATTTGATGCCACACCTCTAAAAGGACAATGTCCGCAAAATTATTCACTCGAGGCATTCTGCTGGTGTATCATAGAAGAACATGGAAGGTTTGACACTTTCATGCCATCCAGGTGCCTGTGTTGCTGATGTTGGCTTTGTTCCCCACTCATTTCCTCCAGTATCGTTGGTGGCTTGGAACACCGTGGCATCTCTGGAGGTCAACGTGCCCTGGCTGAAGCGAGCAAAGGGTGTTTTTGGTCTTCGGAACCCATGCAAAGTTTGGGTCCAAAGGTCTGATCTTAGACCTTTTCTTGTTGTTTTCTTCAGACACTTGGAACCGCGAAGGTGTTTTCCTTCCTTTCTGTCTTTCTTTTTTTACTTATTGCCGAACAGGACACCTTTGATGTTTTCCTTCGATCCTTTTCAATCTCTTTTCCAGGCAAACGTGTGAGCATCGGCTTGGAACTGGCCGCGGATCCCACCATGCTCTTCTTAGACGAGCCAACCTCAGGCGCGGATCCCACAGCTCGTTCCCATCGCAGCCCGTCGGCCGTTTGGCTCCCCACCCGGTGAGGACTCGATGCGGCGAGCTCGTTGGCCATCGCTCGGAGCTTGGCCTCTACGCTCGTTTGGTCGTTTCCCATGGGCCCTACCCATTGGGCCCCATCATGTCCGTTTCTGGCCAGCTCGGAGCTCCATCATGGGGTTTCTGATGGTCAGATTGCGGATGGGCTGTTTCTTGTTTGGTGGCGACTCTTTTGCGCTCCTTTTGCCACTGTATGTCATGTTTGTCGCCGTTTTGCAGACTTGCAATTCAAGGTCCAATCTCTGAAGCGAATGAGTCAGTCTGCGCCCAGTCGAGTCGAACTGGTCGGAGAACCTGCTGAGAAACCGCTGCGCGACGAGCCGAGGCTTGGTATGACGAGCGTGTTGGTGGTCCATCAGTTGAAGTCTCAGAGACTTTTAACCGTTTGCATCGTTCAAGATGCCTCAGCCATTTCAAGCGCTTTGTCACAAACTGGATTTTCATTTGTTGCGTAGCAGGGGTATTGTTCAGTTCTTACTTTCTTCAAACGCCACACTCTTGGTGACCACCAAAAAGGCAATATGCGATTTCATTCTGTTTCCTTGTATAGTGTCGATGAATGTAGATCCAATTGGTCCGAATTTCAACTTCTGTCCAGTCCAGACTTTCCATTCCTAGCCGCCGAAGTCTTGTCTTAGCTGGCGCAAGGCCACGGTTTTCGCTCTTCTCGCTCTTCGACGACGTCCTCCTGCTGGGCAAAGGAGGTCACCCCTGACCACGACATGACATGCATGACCCGTTCGTTTGGCCTAGCTCGCTCTTGGTCTTGTTATTCTCCATTGTAGAGGCCGGACCGTTTACTTTGGGCCACCCAAATCGGCCAAGCTGTGCCCCTTTGGCTGTTCAGAAAAGCTGCCCATGAAGCAATGACCCGGTGGGCAGGTACTTTGAGCGTCGAAGACCCAGCACCTGAGTGTTGCAAGCATGCCAGTGCACAAACATTGCACAAACGATGCAATTCAAGTGCTTCTCCAATTCTTCGCCCAAGGCCTGGGATTTGTGATGCCCAAATCCGAAAACCCGGCCGATTGGTTTATGGATCTGATCTCTGGTGAGGCGCTCGAGAAGAAATGCACCTCAAAGGGGGGCGGAAGGTGGATGAGGGAAGGTGTCGAAGACTCGCTGGGCAGGTGCCAAACCAGAAGATCCCACACTTTGTGCCAGAGATGCTCTTTGACATTTGGGAGGCGCACTGACAGGAAGCGTAACACCACCATCGTGAAATTGTGTTCATGTAGTACGTAGGAATTCGCGACAGTTTGCAAGGTAATGGATGGTAGATGATGGTAGTGGTATTGTGTTCCTCGCGATATCCATGATCTCAACCTTTTGCAGTGCGTTTCATCCCTGCTACGCTCACAGTTGAACAAAGACCGCGTCCAGAGAAAAGCCCGGGCGTGAGCCTCGGACCGCCTGAGCCGCTGGAGCCGCTGGGCTCGGGCGTGGGCAGAACCGGCCTCGTTCGCTTCGTTCGCTTGCGACTGCAGCGGGAGTCGCTTCCAGGAAGCAGAGCAAGCGATGCTGGAGGTAGACGAGTGGCAGGACGAGCCACGGGAGACATTGGCAGACGGGATGTGGACGGTGCTGTGGAATGTGAGCGAAAGGGGGAAATATGATGAAAAGTTGCCGGAGAGGAGTTGGTGAACCGACTGGATGATGACTGGCTGCGTCTTCAGATGGGGAGAGCTGAATCCCAAATCTGGGATTGTGTTCTTTCCCTTTTTGTAGTGATTGGCTATTTCAATCTATTTCATGTTATTTCCAGTACTGGATGGAGATGTATGTTGCTCCCAACAAGGCCTCGGATCAGCTATCACAATGCGCCATCAGCCATGGATCCTCGTCGTTGGGGGGCGCTCAGCGAGAAAGTCCAACAAAGTCTCAACAACGAGGCTTCCACATGTGACATTCTGAGTGTGCGAAAAGCTAGGCGAAGGTGTGATGCGGGAAGAGGACGTACCCGTACCGTCCGACTGATGAAGATGGATCACTGAATGGATGGCTAAATGGATGGGCTTCTTTTTTTGCGTTTTGGCCTGAAAGGATTAACACATGTTTTTAGCTTAACTAAAAGCACCTAAAAATGCCCGTTGCTGCAGGACTTTGTTCGACTGTTGAAGGCCAGTGTCATTGATGAAGAGGAGACTCGGCTGATTTGGCCTTCCGACCAGTGGAGCCTTTTGCTGAGTGTTGAACTACATGTGTCACGTGTCTCAAGCTCTATTTTACCTCGTGGCAGGACGATGACAGTGACGTGAGGGAGGCGCATGGTACACCTGCAGGTTGTTCTTTTCCGCGAAGATGCAGAGCAAGTGTTCAGGCCGTCAGTGAGCTGCTAAAACGTATTGGTGGACCTTCTGCCTGTGTCGCAACAAAGAAAGAGGCAGGGAATGCGGGTTGGGATAGAATTGGTCGAGAGATGTTGAGAGTGTTGAACAAAGACCTTGGAACCCCTGAACAAATGGGGCTGAACTTATGTAAGTTGCCTGCCGCCTGACCTGAAGAACTTTCAACACCAAACGGGGTGGTTTGGGTGCAACAGATTTTCTGTGACAGACCTATATATACCAGTGGTGTTTCCAATGTGTCAGACTCACGCCCCGCGGAAGGTCGCTCCTGGGGTTTTCTTTCTTCGCGCAAAAGCGGACCACCTGTCTCAGTCCGTCAGGTTGTCGAGTTCTTGGCGAGCTTGCAGGGTGTCAGGAGCTGAAAGGTGTCACCAGCTAGGCGAGTCTTTGGAAGATCCTTGGCCCACGACGGAGTTTTCGACTCTATGAAGCTCTCCTTAGGTGGTCGCATCTGACAAAGAGCTACGGCGGAAGCCCAAGGCCATCGCCAAGAAGGCGCTGCACTGTTCGACCGAACGGACGCATCGGAAGAGTCTAATGGCATTCCGTTTTTTGAGAGGCCAACAAGCCACCGCCACCGCCGAACAGCCCAGATGTGCTTACTATTGAGAATCATGATGTTGAAAAAACATAGATACTGAGTGCCTGGCCTGATGTGAGCTTTTCTGCTTTAGATAAGGCGCTTGCTGGTGAGGACATCACCCATGAGCAGTCCGAGAGAAGAGCCCGAGGAGAAAGTCGAGGCGGACCAAAACCAAACGCGGCCTTTTCTCGGGCTTGAGCGGGAAAGAGCTGAGATAGTAGTCCAGTAGGAGCAAAGGGCATCGCTACTAGGAGCAAGGACGCTACTAGGGGCTCCTGGCCTTACTACTAGGAGCAAGAAGCTACTAGTAGCAAAGGGCATCGCTACTAGGAGGTTTTGTTTTCCTTTTTCATCTTCATGGACTGTGGACGACAAGAGTTTTGTTTGTACCATTTCACAGACGCGGTCGAGCGTGGCAGGAACGAGCGCGCAGTGCAGTTGGTCCTGGTGGCAGGCTGGGATTGAGTGCAGCACACCTCGGAAAGGAATGGCCGTATATGCCATCATTACGATTACACAGATGTGGTTCTTATGCTCTTTCATCACAGGACGCATGGTAGCTCCAACTTCACTTGATGCATTTTTTTGGGGGGGGAGGCGACTGCCAACCATGATCCTCGAGGAGGAAGACAATGTCCGTTTCGCCCAGTTTCTTTCACACTCGCCGTGTGTTGAACCGACCTCCACATCGGTCACATCCGGTCCACCGTTGGATCCGACGAAAAACGACCCCTTTTTCGCCGTCCGAGCCGAGCCCCGTTTGCTGAGGCTCCGAAGGACGTGCTCGTGGAGCCGGAGCCCAGGAAGCTCTCCGCAGATCCGACGCACGGCGCCGTCTGTGATGAGCCCGAGGGCCCAGAGACGGCGAACCGGTGATCCGTGCGCCGAGCGCGGAGCGTTGAGTCACAGATGTCGTTGAGATGGAGTGGACGGGTGGCTGAAAGTATGAAGACTAGAGTTAGCATGAGTTAGCTATAGAGGATGAGTTGGTTTTTATGCTTGGGATTCATTCAGTTTGGTTATAGAAGTGTTTCTTGGCCATGGAGGAAGGAGTCCTTTTTCTTCAGCAGATGTTTCTGTTCATGTATGTAGCAGTGTCTCCACTTTGTGGAACATGCCAATGTGTCAGACCCACGTGTGTGATTTTCCATGCGTGCCCAACAAATAGGCTGAACGACATTGTTGAAAACCTCGCAGCTGTGCACAACACTGGTCTCAACACAGACTTTGTGGGCAAACTGGTCCGAGACGGACTCGCTTCCTTCTTTTGGAGGCCCTCGAGGATGTGCTCACAGGCAGAGGATTCAGAAGTTCAGCTGCATATAGCATCATACTTGTAGGGCACAAGAAACACGGGGGTGTTTGGTTTCAAGAAGAACATAATCATGCATGCTTTCGCGGTTGTTTCTTTTGCTGAACTGGGCTTTCTTGTGCTACAAACTTTACAAACTAGTGAACTAGTGCTTTGTCCCTTGCTTTGTCGACAAGCATTTCGAGACAAGCAGGCGGTCTTTGCCGTTCTTGTGATGTTCGTAGCAGTTCTTGGACAGAGACTCTGAGAATTCTTGGATTTCATAGATTCCGACCGGGCTTTTAACAGCCAAGGCAGATCATATTGTGGAAACCGAGCTCATAGCCACGACAGACTTTACAAACGAGGTGGGTTTTGGCCGCGTTTGCTATTGATCATGATAGGAATTGATACGGTCCCTTCCCTCAATAATCTGATTGTGGAACAAAAGCAAGAATGCAGGCTTGTTGGGAGATTAGGTCTGCATAAAATCATGTCCAGCATAAAGATGACTGCGAATAGAGGTTTTTTGTGGAGTGCTGTGCTGTGTAGTGTCACTTTTTCAGACTTTTCCTCAGCTGTGCAGGAAGCAGGAAGTGAGACGATCTATGAATATCCCAAGTTAGCATGGCACTCAATCAGAGTTCAGATTGGGGCGCTGCCGAAAGCGCTTCCGACTGCCGCTTGGATGATCGAGACTGAGGTCTTGGCTGCTTCCGAGCGTTCCGAGATGCAGGACACCGCCACCGGACCCTCCCCGTCCACCCGGTCTGCTCCACGCTCACGCCACAGGAGGTGGATGACCGGTCCGCGGCTGGCGCGCTCCTCCCGGTGCCCGCCTGAGCGGTGTGAGTAACTGGCCGAACACCTGACGCACTCGGCCGGACTTGCTCGTGGTGTTCGGAGGCAAAGAGCTCTTTGAGTATGGCCACCACGAGCAAGTCGAAGGCGGCTGGGAGAGGAAACCCGAAGATCCGTCCGGAAGGTCCGGAAGGTCCTCAGGAGGGCCGAGCGACATTGTTAAGTTACTACAAATTCTATACTAATTATAATTTTAGTTTAATACCTTAGAGGATCCAACTAGTAGCTTCTTGTTGCTACTAGTAAGGCACTTGTTACATTGTTACTAGAAGCGATGCACTTGTTCCTAGTAGCTTAATGGCGTTGGACTTGTTTGGATTGGTTGGAGGCCCGGCGACCCTCAGAGCCTTGAGCCGAGCAAAGAATGGCTTTCCTCTTCCAATTCTTTCTGTAGTCCGCGGGGAGACCGCGGTCTGTGGAATTTCTCAGATTGATGTCACAAGTTTCTTGGTTTTTCTTTCAGGTTTGTGGTCTTCTTGGCAGCTGGTGCCTTGTCGGCCGACTTCCACCAGGCAAGCATTCTGGTCTATGTTCAGCTATTATAGTGTAGACACATGTGATGGTTTCCAGGAGAATGATATGCTGACAGTGAAATTCGTGGGTGAGGGTGGCACCATCGAAGCTTGGAACATGGCCAATCCAGGACCGCCTCGTCAATCTTGCTGACTGGCACACGCACATCCGTTTGATGCGGGTGTGAAAACCACTCTTGGTTGCAAGTGCGTGTTCAATCACATCGCTGATCTGCCTTGATCACATCAAGAGTGTGGACGGTGGGTCATTAAAAAAAGAATTGTAAGCGGTCAAACAAGATTCCAGTATCATCATCAATATTGATGCGCTCAGTATTTATCAATATGTCCAGGGATTTATTTGGTCAGCGATTGCAGGCTTGAAGCTGAAGAAGGCGGACCATATCGTGCAGGTGAACCATGTCTACGGTGCAGCCGAGGACCATGGTATAGACTTGAAGACACACGGGGGTGAAAAATCAAGTCAATACTAAGTGTGGCGTCTTGTGATGTTTGAGCATGCTGAACTAGGTCCTTCAGGTAGTTTGTTCTAGGCAGCGGGCCTGCTCGCTGAACTCCAGTGTCTATACTGCCTACACCTTAGAGATGCTGAACATATCTTTCTTGTGAGGCCGCAAGTAGTTCAAACACCTGACATGGTGAGCTTTTTTTTGCACATGACCACGCATAACCCATTTCAGCTGCTCTTTACTGGTGGGAGTTTGAGTGTTCGAAGATCCAGGCACTGGTGTAGGCAGTACACATGACACTCCTACAGCACCCATGCCCAATCTTTTAGAACGTTG